CATGGTCCAGTAGACCCATGGTGTACAAGATAGCCCCCACCTACCATGGTCCAGTAGACCCTTGGTTTTTACATGATAGCCCCCCCTACCATGGTCCAGTAGACCCATGGTGTACAAGTTAGACCCCCCCTTACCATGGTCCAGTAGACCCATGGTGTACTTGATTGACCCTACCTACCAGGGGTCCAGTAGACCCATGGTTTTACATGATAGACCCCACCTACCATGGTCCAGTAGACCCATGGTGTACATGATAGACCCACCTACCATGGTCCAGTAGACCCATGGTGTACATGATAGACCCCACCTACCATGGTCCAGTAGACCCATGGTGTACATGATAGACCCCACCTACCATGGTCCAGTAGACCCATGGTGTAAAAGTTAGACCCCACCTACCATGGTCCAGTAGACCCATGGTGTACAAGATAGACCCCACCTACCATGGTCCAGTAGACCCATGGTGTACAAGATAGACCCCACCTACCATGGTCCAGTAGACCCATGGTGTACAAGATAGACCCCACCTACCATGGTCCAGTAGACCCATGGTGTACATGATAGACCTCACGTACCATGGTCCAGTAGACCCATGGTGTACATGATAGACCCCACCTACCATGGTCCAGTAGACCCATGGTGTACAAGATAGACCCCACCTACCATGGTCCAGTAGACCCATGGTGTACATGATAGACCTCACGTACCATGGTCCAGTAGACCCATGGTGTACATGATAGACCTCACGTACCATGGTCCAGTAGACCCATGGTGTACATGATAGACCTCACATACCATGGTCCAGTAGACCCATGGTGTACATGATAGACCCCACCTACGAGGGTCCAGTAGACCCATGGTGTACATGATAGACCCCACTACATGGTCCAGTAGCCCCATGGTTTTACTGATAGACCCCCCTACCAGGTCCAGTAGCCCCATGGTTTTCATGATAGACCCCCCCTTTACCATGGTCCAGTAGACCCATGGTGTACAGAAGACCCCACTACCATGGTCCAGTAGACCCATGGTGTACATGATAGACCCCACCTACCATGGTCCAGTAGACCCATGGTGTACATGATAGACCCCACCTACCATGGTCCAGTAGACCCGTGGTGTACATGATAGACCCCACCTACCATGGTCCAGTAGACCACTGGTGTACTGTTTAGACCCCACCTACCATGTCCAGTAGCCCCATGGTGTACATGATAGCCCCCACCTACCATGGTCCAGTAGACCCGTGGTGTACATGATAGACCCCACCTACCATGGTCCAGTAGACCCGTGGTGTACATGATAGACCCTACCTACCATGGTCCAGTAGACCCATGGTGTACATGATAGACCCCACCTACCATGGTCCAGTAGACCCATGGTGTACATGATAGACCCCACCTACCATGGTCCAGTAGACCCATGGTGTACATGATAGACCCCACCTACCATGGTCCAGTAGACCCATGGTGTACATGATAGACCCCACCTACCATGGTCCAGTAGACCCATGGTGTACATGATAGACCCCCCTACCATGGTCCAGTAGACCCATGGTGTACATGATAGACCCCACCTACCATGGTCCAGTAGACCCATGGTGTACAAGATAGACCCTGTTAGGTAAAAGGACACATTCACAACTAATGTGACATTTCATTGTGGCAATGTTTTGCTCTCATAAATAAGGCTTAGTGTGAGGTGTAGTTGTAATGCTAGTGGTGTTAGTAGTAGTAGTAGCAATACTAGTGGTAGTAGTGGTAATAATACTAGTGGTGGTGGTGGTAGTAGTAGTGGTAATACTAGTGTAGATGAATGGTTCAGAGAACCGACAAGTTGATGAATTAGACATGTGCAACACTTGGGTGTCTTTAATGAGGAAACGTTTCGCCACACAGTGGCTTCATCGGTCCATACAAAGGTGAAGAATGTTGAAGAACAGGAGGAGTTTGAGGTAATCAGTCCCTCAGCCTTGACTCGATGTAATCAGTCCATCAATCTTGAAAAGAAAACAGCATATGTTTGAAGAAGTTGCTTATATACTGTAGGCAAGAGAGGTGCAGCAATTTTAGGTGGTGTAAGATAAGATAAGATAAGATTTCGTTCGGATTTTTAACCCCGGAGGGTTAGCCACCCAGGATAACCCAAGAAAGTCAGTGCGTCATCGAGGACTGTCTAACTTATTTCCATTGGGGTCCTTAATCTTGTCCCCCAGGATGCGACCCACACCAGTCGACTAACACCCAGGTACCTATTTGCTGCTAGGTGAACAGGACAATAGGTGTAAGGAAACGTGTCGAATTTTCCACCGCCGGGATCGAACCCGGCCCTCCGTGTGTGAAGGGGAGCTTTGCCACCAGGCCACGGGTCACCAGCCAAGGCCACCGGGGTCACCGTGTTGTTGTAAATGTTTCCGAAGGGAGTTTCTGGCCCCGGGTCTCAATCTTGCGAGACTGTCAAAGCTCCGATGGGAAAGGTTTCTACAATGATGCGACATGCTGCTCAAGCATCTTCTGGTCAGTTCAACTGGTGCATCTCATAAGCGACAACACCATTGTACTCTAACTTGGACACTAGCGAGGAGGAGGATATGTCGTTATCACAGGTAACAGCTTGTCTGGTTCTTTGACCATTGGTTTAAGTAGTGTGGCCGCAGTCATCTGTGGGTCCTCTTCGAGAGGGATTTTCACTCCTGTTGCCTGCGGAGTGTCTCAGTAACTTCGCACTCCAGAAGATAGTGTGTTAGGGGCCGTTGGACAACGTGTGACGGTACTGGCACATCTCAGCCTTGTCTACCATCATCTTGGCTGTGGGAAAGCCCAAACGAAGCAAATGGATGGCGGTACACTGCGCTCTGGACCAGCTTCTATCATACGAGGGGGTTCTCCCGAGTCATGCTCGGTACCACTGTTGAGATGGGTACACCTAAGCCCTCCCCATAAGTTTTGGCAGCCCAGTTTGGTCTGTCGTAGGCTGATTGGGGACAGTAACCCCAACTTTGGGGATGTCTGTTGCTTGCTTTGGCTGCATCATCTGCTGCCTCATTTCCCTGGATGCCAGCTGGCTGGGGTTTCCAGTTCAATGCGATCTGTTACCCTGAACTTCTTAAAGGGTGTCATTATGCTCAGGATCGATGTGATGAGATGAACATTGTCCTGTGTTGAGGATGGGAGAGGGCATTGATTGCAGAGGTGGAATCAAAATGTATGACAGGTGGGAGTCGATGTCGTAGGGCTATGACAATGCCCGCTGAATCGTACCAGCTCAGCCTGAAGGATCGTTTCAGTGGTCAGGGAGTCACCAGCCTTGTGTGTGACCATTGTGGTCAGTCCAGTTGCTGCTCTCTTCCTGTCAGGGTTTGACAGAACCATCTGTTGAAATACACTGCACATGTGCCTTCC